GATCGGCACCGGGCAAACCGTCCGGTGCTGTGTGAGGGGTGAGAGGCGGATTGGACACGGAAGATCTCTGGTTAAGTGCCTGTCAAAGTGCCCCCTGCCTTGGATGCGACTGAGCCGTGTCGCGGCACCTCTCGCCTGTGCAGATCGCTCTGCAGGTGGGTGAAGATGTCGTGATAGGTGCTGACGTGGTAAACAAGCGACGACCTGCTCGGTCGGGAAGACCTGGATGGTGGCAGGGGGTCGCTGCTTGGCAGATCTGCTTTTCTTCCGCAACGCTGCAGAGTGTTTTGTAACGATGAACTTTGAGATTCAAAAAGGATCGATCATAAGGTGATGGAGGTCTTGGAGGGTCTCTAGTCCAACGTCCTGCTCAGAGCAGGGTCACCTCTGAGGTCACAGCAGGTGGCTCAGGGCTTTATCCGGTGAGGTCTTGAAAGCCTTTGAGGATGGAGACCACACAAGCTCTTTGGGCAGCTTGTTCCTCAGCTTGACTGTCCTGGCAGTGAAGTTTCTCCTTCTGTCGAGTACAAACCTCCCTTGTTTCAACATGTGCCCATGATGTTTCATCCTCCTGCGCCACGCACCGCTGTTGAAAGCTTGTAAAAACATCTCACTGGAATGCTGACGCTATGTATGCTCTCTGAAATTGAGGTAACAGAGGAAAGGTCGTCTGGTTTAGCTGTATTCTACCAAATTTCCAGGTCTGTTGCCTGTATGTAAATATGCCTATGTTTTCAGCAAGGGTTACTGCGTAATTGCGGTTTCGTCTGTATCGGTGGTGCCGCAATAAAACCTACTAATAGGTTGACTAGATACAATATAGCGATCTCAGTGAATTGAGATATACCTGTAAATGACATGGGAAATACTCAGCCTTATGCAGGAGGCAACAATTGTGTTTTATTGAATAGGAAAGTATACAGTAATATAGAATAAAGAAGGTTATAGCTTTTTGCCCTACTTAAAATAGTTACCTCAGAAAAAATATGTATTTCAACAGAGTTAAATTCTCAAAACAAGTGCATGGATGATGAAGACAAGGCCTATGAAAACTTAGTGTTTCAAATGGAAAAAAAATAATTTCTTCTCTGTAATTATGTATACAATTTTGCAAATTAGTTTCTTTCCTAATTGCTTACATTTGGAATGTATTTTTGTGAGCTGAGGAGCATGACATATATAGAACCTGAGCTGTACCCGTTCCTACAGCTATTAATTTCTTTCCACCCCTTAGATTTGGCGTGAGCAACACTACAGAAGGAAAATGACGCACTGGTTTCATCGCAACCCTTTGAAGGCCACAGCTCCCGTTTCATTCAATTTTTATGGGGTAGCTACCACTCCGGCTGCAACAAAGGTTTGCAAGTAAGTGTACTTGTGATTAAATTCACTCTGTCTCTCACAGTTTGGAGGACATCCTTAAAAGTAATGGTTACTTTTCAGTTTTTGTTCTGAAGATGACTAGAAATGTGTGGGCTAGGAGACAATAAGACACTGATAACACTGAACATTTAGTTACAAAGAATGAATTACCCAGTTTTCAAGTCTCTGAGTTTATAGCGAGGCCTATTATAATAATGCAGAGGCAAAAGACTAAACATTTCATTGTCTTTCTGATGACTGTGCATTCTTCTGCAAAGGATTACTTAAAGTAATTTCCATAAGTGAATAAGGCGTGAATGTTCTATTGTAGATAGGAATATAATGAGATCTCAGCTTATTTTGCAGATCTATTCTTATCTCTTCATATGCTCATCCCGTTCTAATGTTGAAGAATGTTCATGCTTGTTAATTCCCTTCCCTCCCCCTGCACCCAACCTCTCAGTAGATAAAGGCATTTTGGTTTCTGTTAGAACAGTAGATTGATGATGAGTACTGATTATCCATTGCTGCCTGTCCAAAATGGATTGTACTTCAAACTAAAGAGTCAATCGTATGTATCCAGAGGAGAAAGGAAGATTTTGCTGTATTCATTGGCATCTTACTCATAAAGTACCTTGCCTTGCCTTCAGATAGCTAAATTGAATGCTTAATTTCACTTTCTTAGCCAAAAGGCTGGTGGTATACATGGGTGGGTACTTTATTAATAGTACATTTTTGGGTAGAATTTCTTAGGTTTATTTTTTCTTTTTTTCCCCCTCCGTACAGTGATTTGAGGTTATCTCGATCACGACTACTGGAGTTATTTACAGACTCGAGTTGTAATCCAGAAATGATGAAAAATGCAACTGACTTGTACTTCTCACTCTTGCAAGGTAGGAACATTTCTTAGTCATACTGCTAATATATCAAGACATCTATAATTAGAGTTTTAATGACACTTATCAGAATGTGTATTGTGCTAATGTTCTGTAAAGAAGCTTTGCACTTCTCAGGAAGGAGAGTATCTTCATGGGTCCTATGCTTGATTACCAGTCACGGGTACTCACCTGGCCCTTTCTACAAGTTTCAGTGTCCTTTGTGACCCTGCCAGTACTAAGTGTCGGCAGTCTTGTCCTCTTGCTTTTAACCTCATTCTGCTTCCTGCTGGAGGAGAAAATGTTTGTCTCTCAGTTTGTGATGAATTGCTCCTTAAGTATAAATTGCAACTGTTAATTAGGTGATGGGAGTTGCTCTTTGGTGTAAACTCCTGGTTTGTCTAATGCCAGGTAGTGGACGTACTGCAAGTTTACACTCCTGTTGCTGCTTGTCTTAGGTATAAATAGGTTCTCATGGGCATAGTATCTACATTTTCAATAGATGGTCACCTGTGACAATGCATTCCCTTGAAACCTTCCTCCTGCCAATATTTTGATAATTCTCTCTTAGCAGTCAGGTGCTCAGACAAGTTTCTTAGGACTGAGTTTGCAGGAATCAGCTGATTGATGGAAACTGTGTGATATTTCAGTCTGTGGGAAGTGAAGCAGCTCAAGTTGGTGTAGTTCCCTCAGTCTCTGGGAGGGTGTAAGCTAATGGGACGTTCTAGATGAAGGTACAATAACAGTCCATGTTGCTGCAGACAAGATTTGGAGAGTTTCTTCAGGAAGGCATCATGCTTGGTCACTAAAATCTTCTGTGCGTAAAGTAACAAGTATTTTCTGTCTCTATAAACATGTGACATCACCTAGAGCTATAGCCCCAACAGCTGCTGTTGCAAGTCTTGAGTTCTTGAAGCCTGTAAGACTTGATCAGGCCAAGAGTCTTGCTTTTCCCTGAAAAATTCTTTCCTGGGCCTGCACGTGCATTTGAACATCCCATAGCATGAGCTTCACTTCATCTCATTGACTGCTGCTTTCTGGGTGGCTGGACATAAATAACCAATTTCCTGTAGCTCTGGAGACAAAAAAAATGATGGCTGGGTGAGTCCATGCTTACAAGCCCTTTTCCCTCTCCCTGTTGACCAGGCAGCTTTTCCTGGAATTTTCCAATCGCCACTATGTTGGCAGGGACAGTCACTCACCTGGAGCAGCCTCAGTTGTCCCATACCTGGGTCAGTCCAACTCCCAGTTAGTCACCATACAGGACATGCAGACATCTGCAAGGTTTTCCTCGAGCAATCAAGACACACAGGGTTGGGTTGGTAACCTGCTGGTCAAAGAGTTTATTGTAGTAGCCAGTTTTGATTTTTGCACATTTAGTTCTCAAGATATTGAAGAAAAATCACCTCAGGAAGTAATACGGATTTTTGAGTGCTACAGCAAGAAACATTCCTTTATCTATATCGGTATTTTCATTGATCCCCATTCCTTCATTACTTTTCAATTACTGAGATTGCCTGTCTCAAAAAAATGTCAGTACCTTTTTTTATTCTATAGGTTTTATCCTTTCACTGGATGACTCTTCCCAAGAATGCAAGTTGAGATATATTCAGAATTTCAAGTGGACAGACACATTACAAGGACAAGTTCCAAAGTATGTATGCTTTTATGATTACAGAGTATGCAGCTATTTTCTTCTGGTCTGTTATGTATATGCAAGTGTGCCAGCACAGGTGTGAAGGAAAACTTCAAAGTGTAGCAAAATGTTGAACACAAAATAGTTTCCAAAAACTTGTTGCTTTGCGTTTTTGATAATTGCTGTACTGTATTAGGTGTTCTGAAGCACGTGTTGCCTTTACATAACAGTGTGATAATGCACAGTCATGGTAGAAGGATCCATTGTGTCTTAGTTGATCTACAAACTCTATCTGTCTACAGTTGACTAGAGCAGTACAAAGAAGAACCTTGAGAGTATTGGTGAATTGAATATAATAACATAGTTTAACTACTAAACTACAGTTTAAAACTTTTTCATTTGGCAGTATTGCCTGACCGGTATCTTTGAAGTACAAAAGTTGCTGAAGATCCGATTTTGTTCTTGTCCGCTGAAGCTCCTAGTACGTGTACTCCTGGTACAAACAAAGCTTCTGTTTTAAGTTGGAGTATAGATCTGTAACCTTCTGGATTATTCAGTCATCTCTTGCTATTGTAGGTAGTTGCATTGTATAACCACACTTACAAATTTGTCAGGCTTTATCTAGAAGAAGTGTTCAACTTCTTCAATGCTTTTATTCCCCTTGGAAGACAATCTCTTGATGAGGACTCTCCTCTGATTTTCTCATGGTCATACATACTTATTCTTGTGCCAACATTATTCTTCCCACTCCCACACCTTTCTTTTTAAAGATTACTCCTTCCTAAGCTTGTGATCGCAAGTTCACTCTTTTCAAAGACCGTGGTTTTAGCTTCTGAAATTTCCTGCTATTTGCACATGCCGTTTGACTGCAGTTACATAAATACTTGCAGTAACATTAATTTGGGGGAGATGTAATAGACTCTGACTTATTAACTTAGCAGCTACAACTTTAAAGTAGACATTCCAGAGCAAGGCTTTCCACAAAATGTGCAATTTAAAAAAAAAAAAAAAAAAAAAAGGGAAAAATGTCAGCCACACCCAAAGCTAAACAAATCTCAAGTTACTGTTTTAAAATAAAAGTTCCCAAATGGGAAGGGTAGGCATCTAAATGTGGGAAATTATAATTATGAGCTCTTAAAGGGAATAAGTAAAAACTGAAGTGTTTTTTAGGCAGTTCAGTAAGTAGGAGGTTCTGAATTGGAAATTGTTGACTTCTTAAATGAAAAATATTTTATGGAGGGAAATGTTGACTTATGCTGTGTGAACTATCAGCAGAGAGAGCTTGACAGAACAAAATGGAAAGCATTAAATTGTTTGGGGTTTTGTTTGGGGGGGTTTTGTCTGTCTTTAGTGCCCAGCAGGATGCAGTGTTTGAACTGGTTTCCATGGGATTTAATGTAGCTCTGTGGTACACAAAATATGCATCAAGACTCGCTGGAAAAGAAGAGTAAGTGTTTTTCTTTTCTTAGTAATTCCATCGCAGCAATATTCCACACACACAAAAAAAATTTACCAGGTTCTGAATTTTGACTGCTGTAGTGCATGTCCAGATGGGACAGTAGTTCAAGGAGGCAGTTGGCCTTCATTCATGTGCTGTAATGTCCAAGCGCACTTCAGTCCCTTCTTGCGTCTGTGAACAAAGTGTACTAGTACCATATGGCTGTGATATAGAGAAAGCATCAGCTGTGAATAAATCCTTTATCAGTCCTGCTCTAAATGTCCAGGTACAAACTTGAGATTCTGAAAATCACAGCTCTGCTGGCTTTTAGCCCTACAGATTTCTAAAGCTTTGGCTTTTAACACTGAGGTTACCTTTTACTTGAAAGTCATTACAAGGTCTTACGTTTCTTTTTACAAGTGAGCTCTATTTGATTATTTAATGATTGGACACTGTAAGAAACTTCTTTACCATGAGGATAGCACAGCAGTGGGACAGGTTACTTAAAGAGTTAGTGGACTCTCCATCCTTGAAGGTTTCAAGATTCATCTAGACAAAGTCATAACTGACCCGATCTGCTGTTTGCGATAGTCCTGCTCCAAAGCAGGAGCTGGGACTAAATGACACTTAGAGGTCCTTTCTAACTAAAATTCCATTGATTCATTCTATATTCTTAGTATAACAGAAGATGAAGCAAAAGACGTTCACAGAAGCCTGAAGATAGCAGCTGGGATTTTTAAACACTTGAAGGTAGAAAAACCATCTTTGCTGTCTGTTCTTTAAGTTGTCTCCAAGTACTTGACTTTTTGTCTTAGAAAAGCCTTTACTTTTCTGACAAGGTTACAGAATAAACAAATACCTCAGACTAAATGATACAGGAAAAAGGAGGGTATTATTACGTTGTGCTACCGCTCAATCCCTGCTAAATGGAAGAGTTATCAGTCAGTCTGCCCAGTAACACATGCAGCAATGCAGCTAGCCATCTTGGGACCTTCACTCAGTGTCCCATCCATTTAGGAATAAGGGACTTGCTTTGCATTGGCAGCGGTGGTATTAAGCCTAAACTAACTTTGAGACTTGCTTTGTACTTAGGAAAGTCATATCCCAAAATTGATTACACCTGTAGAAAAGGGAAGAGATTTAGAAGCTCGACTTATAGACTCTTACATCATACAGTGCCAAGCTGAAGCTCAAGAAGGTATCTTTGTATATACATGTTTGTTGGGGATGGGAAATGACAGTCTTTGTGGGTTACTTAGGTGTCTAATGAAGTCTGCTTGTCAGCAATGCCTCTTTTTTTCCTTCTCCTGAAGTACTGTGGCTTAGTGGGGCGGGTTGCTTTTAAAGAAATGTAAGTTACAATTATAGGAGGAAGATGCCAAAAATCAGTCTGATATTACAAATGTAACCACTTTGGAAGAACTTGTGTGTGACATTCCTCCTCTCTTCTTTTTTCCTTTCGTGCAGTCTCTTCATTACCATGTTTGCCTGACATAAATTCCCAGTTCCTTTACTTTACAGAATTTGTAGCTTCTGTTTACTAGCTCATCTTCAGACTAACCTTCCTTCAGCTTCTCTATTAATTTGAAATCATTCTATCCAAGAAACAATCTGTCTGTATTCTGCAGTTTGCTTAACTGCACAACACTTATTTTTTGCTCATGCGGGGGTTTGAAAATGCTAAATGCCTCTGCTGATTTGATGTGACATTTTCAATTAAACTTTAATACTGTGGCGTGGAATTTTTTTCCAGTGACAATTGCTCGGGCTATTGAGCTGAAACACAATCCAGGATTAATAGCTGCTCTTGCTTATGAAACAGCTAACTTCTACCAAAAAGCTGGTAAGTGTCTTGTTTTGTATCCTTAGTGACCTGGTTTATGCATTCTTGCCAGCAGACGTACTTCACCCGCCCATCAATTGCGATACTAACACCGTTTCTCAGTGGATATGCTTTGTATATTTAGCTTCTATTGAGCACTTTTAAGGCTTCAGTTATCAGCGTAACAGATGCATTTTGATAAGGCCTTTTGTTTTTGTGGGAATCTTTTTCTGTAGCTAATGGTAGGAAATGTTAGTGAGGGGAGACAGAAGACAGAGTAATGTCTTGAGAATATGTAATAGCAGCAAACAAAATGCTTGATGTAAATGGAGTGTGTTTCAGCTGTCTTTGGGCAGCAGATTATGATGCAGAGCATAAAGTGTGTAGCGGGTTAATTACGTACATCTTTCCAAATGAGTAAGCTGATCTGTGGGCTTGTGGAGGCAAGCGGGGAAAGTGCAAAGATACGGGACTCAATGTAGGAGATGGAATGTGGTAACGTACGTAGGCTTTTATAGGTCACTACTTGAAATTAAGCTAGGAACAAGCTTTGAAATACTGCCTAAAAATACTTGGGAGAATTAGCCTACCAAATTTAGTGGACAGCAGTTTCAGGGATTCTAAGGACAACTGCATGATAGCTCAATAAACTGCTTTTTTTTTTTTTTCCTCATAGTTTCTCTGTGTCTTTGCAGAAGTGATTTACGTCCCTTGTTTCTGGCTATACTTTGTAGTTAAGATCTATTGCTAAGTTTAAGAATTTTGGTCTTTGAGTGTGTGTTTGTAATTTTTCTTTTTGGAAATGTCTTAAAGAATAACTTTACATATTTGTTCATAGATCAAACATTAGCCAGTTTGGATCCAACCTATGCAGGTAAATGGAGGAAGTACTTAAACTTGAAGACCTGCTTCTATATGGCCTATGTAAGTACTTTGGCTGACAGCTGTCACAGTTTGTAATGTTGTTTCAGGGCTGGATTTGGAATGGGGGCTAAATATTGCTTTGTTTTTCTGTTCATGCTGTGAAGACAGACTGTGCAGCGTCAGTGGCACTTGAAGTGTTTTTGTTGAGCCAAGTGAATTTACTGCAGTGTGGAATTTATTGTGATCTCATATTGTTAAGTGAAGCAATTCAGCTTGAGCATAATACTTGTCTTCCCTTATCTGCATCACAGTCTGATTCTAGGCATAATTCAGAGCTGATCATCTTTTTTGAAGGCCCTGAATGAAACTGCCTCAAGTAACGTTAGGTACGATTGCAAGTGCTGTCCCTTTTTGCGTGATTGATCTCTTAGCAAGTGCAGTGGCACTCTTGGGATCATCAGCTGCTCAATTTGCTATTTATCTGTTGTAGCCTGCCACAGCCTGTAATCTGGCTCTTTCATACTGTAAAAGCAGTTACCACAATTGTCTCTCTTAAGTTAAACCTGTAGCTAAAAGCTACTTGCTGTATTAGCAAGTTTGAGAGGTGAGAGTGTCAGAGCTGTCATACTTTTTTTTTTTTTTATTTATTTCTATAATATGGGCGATGGTAGATTTAGGTAACATTTGCTATACTGTGAGAACAGACATTAAAGGAAGGTGAGCAGTTGTTAATGTGATTGTTTCTTTACCTATGGTATTTAATATTTAAATTCAGCAACTGCTGATAATAGAAAAGAGGCCCTTCAGTTCTCACTGGAATACAGTACTATCTTCAAGCGTAAGTGTGAAGGAATGGGACTTTTTGGGGTGGAAAAACTATTTGGACTGGCAAAATATCTCAAGCAGCAGTACGCCTCATCTCTTGTGGATACAATTTGTTTGCACATTTGGTTTTTGAGTATTCAAGTAGTTTTAGTTTTTAGAGTGTTTGCTTTGTAAACTTGACTGGGGTTCATCCTCTGTCCGTGATGGGGCTTAATGCTGCACATTGATACAGCAAGAGGCAGAGGTTCGAACTAGACTATATACTAGTGCTTTTGGTGAAACAGCCTTTGTGAAACTGAAAGTTACTCTTGGCTAGACTTGAGACGGCTTGCTTCATACCTACCTCACGGTGTTTATGTTGAACTGCATCGTTTAGTGAAAGCTGCTTTGACTTGCATTCCCAAATTGTCAGCTTTCTCCAGGGAATGGCAGCTTCAAAGAGATGCAACTCTGATGTAAGAAAGAGCAGAAGTGAATTGGTGCAGGAAGTGCCCTGGTAATGATTTTGTCCTCTCCCACTAGGCATACTGTTACCATGGTCAGACTTTACTGGCGAGTGATAAATGCGGGGAAGCAATCAGATCTCTGCAGGAATCAGAAAAATGTAAGTGTATTTGAGACTGGATTACAGGGCCTGATGATGACATGCCTGTTTTATTTTGCTGTGTCGTGTTTATTTGCTCTCTAGTAAACTTAAGGTTTTACCTGTCACCTGATGAAAATCCAGCACAAAAGAGAATAGAGACAGTATATTCTTTTTCTGTCTTACCAAAGACTGTCTTTCATAAGACTGCTGCAGAAAATTTCGTCTTCACTTCTCAGCCTGTTAAAGGCTGGCTTTGAACTGCCTGCCATACCGTGTAAAAATCAGTTGTCTGGTTATCATGTTTTCTGGTCTGGATGTTAAGTTATTGCAGCCTTTTCTGCTTTGGAGGTTGCTCTCTCTTACATTAGATAGTAAAGCTAGACCATGTTTGTTTGGCTGGGGTTTTTTTAAACAGGTTTCAGTAACTTCTTTCCTTTCTATTCGTTTGAAAGGTAGATGAAGGGAAGTTTGCAGTAGTTCAGGGTCTTCAACCCATCCTTCTATCTTCAATGCTATTGCCACCCCAATGACCTGCACTACTGCATTACTTTACTACAATGTATAAAAAATGCTCAAAACCTGGAAACTTTTAATTTTAAAAATAAATAAAAAGAATTTATTAAGAACAAACTAAGTTGAATTACTTGCACTAAAACAAATACTGTGTTTTTATTGTGCCTGCTGTTCAGAGAAGAGTGCTTCTTTTCCCACTCCATATTAAGTGTTGTTTATTTTGGGCTATTACCTGTGCCTGGACACCTTCATACCCTCTCTTTTTCCCTACCATGTGGCACAGTTCTTGGGCTTATGGTTGCATTTTGCTTTCCTGCATCTTCCTACCCAAAAAGCTATCTTTTTTTTTTTTTTTCCCCTGTTCCTAGTCACTTTTTGGATGCCATAAATCTTGGCTGGAAGTACTGCCTTTGAGCTAGTTTATTTTTGTTTCTAAGAAGCAAGAAGCCTGAATGGATTCCGATGTCTCCTAAAACTGAAACACTGTAGATCAGAACGTGATTTAATAATAATGTAAAATATTTTTATTACATTTTTTTCTTGCAAAGTTTTTGCCAAGGCTGAAGCATTGTGCAAAGAATATGGAGAAACCAAAGGGCCTGGGACTACTGCCAAACCTTCTGGACATCTCTTCTTTAGGAAATTAGGAAGTTTGATTAAGAACACGCTAGAAAAATGCCAGAGAGAGAATGGATTCATGTAAGTAATGCGTGGATGATACAGTACTCTGTATGAACTGTCATTACCTTATTTGCCTTTATTTCAAGATGGGATGGTAAATTTTACTCTCCAGTTCTTCTATTCCTTTAGGACGTGGCATGTAACTTGAAGATAGATTTGCAATTCCGTAATACTCTCTTAGCGGATTTGCTATGGGTCTGTGCTCTCACCCTCTCTGTGTTCTGTGCCAGTTCAG